AACTGATTTATTACAGCTCTTATTGTTGTGAGTATTGTCCAATTTCCAACAGAATTTGGACATGAAAATATCCAGCAATAATTTATATTGTCGTAATTCTGCAAGAATTTTGACAACTTTGGAAATTTGCCGTATTGTCCAAATTCCATTGTTGTTTTGAAATTTTTCGAAATTATAATGGAATTTGGACAATGTCAAAATTCTGGTGCCCAAATTCTAATTGCCCAATTTCCATAGAACCAATGAAATATCATTGTAGGCTAGCTTTTTTTGTTCGTGCGTCAGTAGTGTCTATTTTATTTGTCTTTTAATTTCATTTTTTTCATCTGCCAGTATACAGGGTTCGTCTAGATTTACAGTGTGATTGTTTTCAGTGACATGTACAGCTATTTTTGAAAACAAATCATCATTTTCTATTTTCTTCTCATGCTGGTTCATTCTAATGCCAACTTCGTTTCCTGTTTGTCCGACGTAAATGTTAACACAGTCTTTGCATTCTACCCAATAAACAACTCCAACTTTTCTATGACCTTTTCCTTTGTATTTGCGAGAGAAACTGCTTCCCAGCATCCGATACTTTCGAAATCCAAATCCTATGTTTGTAATAACAAATTTGTGGAGACTTCTCTTTAAACTCGAATCAAATTTCTTTGATTCACTTCCTAGATAATAAAAGGAAATATTCGCCTTAATTTTATCATTGGGATTGACAACTGGTTTAGAAGAAGTAGTGATGTGTCTATTGCAGTAGCTTTCAACAGTGTTATCAATAGTTCGTTTCACCATTTTAGCTGAATAACCATTCGCACTAAGAATGGTTTTAAGCCAGGAAATTTCATTATCTAATAAACTCTTTTGTGAGCAAATTCTAATTGCTCGAATAACCAGACATTTGATTAAAGCAACCTTCTGATATCTCGGTGACCCGGAAGCCCATTTCATGCATAGATTAGTGCATGTTTTTTTTCTATATACTGTTGTTTCAAGATGATCAGAATGTTTCTCGATTAAAACATCTAAAACGGCTAATTTATTATCGTGTTCTATTTCCAGTGTGAATTTGTAGTATTTTCGTTCTCCTCTGTTTCAACTAGTATGTATATTCATCTCTCTTCTAAATTCACAGTCATATTAGCCTGATGATGATACTGTGAAGTATCGAAAGCTCGCTTTTTGTGTAAAATGATTTTACAAAAATGTTTTTCGATTATATTAAATATACTTAAAATTATTTTTGTATGACAAATAGCTTCGTATGTACCTGAATCGCAGAAAATAAAATTATTTTGACATAGATCCTCTTTCACTGTGTTGTTTTGATGATTAAAGAGTGTTAAAAGATAAATATCTATCTCTCTTCCTTCGTAAGTAAAAACAACTATATTACTGTGATTCTGTTTGGCTTGTAAATTTGAAAAGAAAAATAAGAAAACTTGGATATTTCAAAAAAGAGCATAAACTGTTGGAAATAATTTTTTTTTCTTCGTAAATTATTATCGAAATAAACAACTATCTACACAAACGTTACGCACTATACGTATCCTGAGCATAAAAGTAATTGGCCTCTCAAAAATACTTAACTGTTTCTTCACCCTTTCATCTTAGAAACTTTTGAAAAAATGTACTTTGTTCAAGGGGGAAAAAGTGCGACTTCAATACTTCAGTCTATTCCAAGCTACTTCATGGGTACTCAAAGTATATATTCAATTACTTCTTAGCTATTTCTGTAGTGCGTTTATCGTACTTCCACATGCACTACTCTGAGTTTAGTTCGCTCGGATCTGTTGCGTAAAAAACTCAAAATACTTCTTTCTGCTTCAGTTTATTTCAACCTATTTCAAAATCTGAAGTAGAATGAAGTATTTTGAGGTTTCTATGAAACAGTTGGACTCAGAGTAGTGCACGTCAAAGTACGATAAAAGCACTACAGAAATAGCTAAGAAGTAATTGAATTTATACTTTGAGTACCCATGAAGCAGCTTGAGTTAGATCGAAGTACTAGAGTTTCGGTTTTTCCCCTTGAATTTGATACCTCCATAAATTCTCTGGAAGATGTAAAGTTAGCGGATTAGGTGAGTATATAGCGTCCTTTATCCCATACTACTATCTATTTCAAAATATAAGACATTGCGATGTATTATGAATAACTCCTGCGCAGTAGGAGGTAGAGATCTGTGGGTTTCAGATTATGCAAGAAGATACCTGGGGACATGACTCTATGCTAAATTGAGCCAAATCCAACAGGTCTACCATGGTATATCTTGTGAAACAAAATGTCCGAGCCTGCTGTTCCATAAGTCTACATAGCAAAGCACTGCTCTAAACACATATGGATATACAGTGGATATCGCTCTACAACCTGGCGTAACCACTAAGTCTCCACCTACCGAGGTTCTAGCGCTACAGACAATCTACGAGAACCTACTTATCGGCTAAATCTGGACTCCGGAAAACCTGAAAACGCAAGAAACATAGGTTTTCGAACACGGTTTCGAAGGCTTTTAAAAGGTTTCTATTTTAGTAAGTACTGAAGTAAAAATCTTTTAAAAACCTTCTAGCACCTTCATTTCTCAATCAAACTGCTTCAGATTTTTCACTTGCTGTACAGTTCAGGGAATGTAAAAACTGTTTATCATACTGAGATTTCACCTGAAGATCTTCAGAGATTTTCCGAAAAACCTGTCGAAGATACGGTTTGCTTTTTGTGGTTCTCGTCGTGAGATCGTATAGAACACCTTTTGTTATACTCACTCTTCAACTTACATGCAATTTGGTTGAGAAATGAAGGTAATAGAAGGTTTTTATTTTAGTATAGTTACAGTGAAAAAATCAAATTTTCTGAAACCACATCTTTTGAAGTGTACTTAATCTGGAGAACAAAACGAACTTTATCACGAGATTCCCCGTGTTTGAAAACCTATGTTTCATGTGTTTTTAGGTTGTCCGGAGTCCAGATTTAGCCGATAAGTAGGTTCTCGTAGATTGTCTGTAGCGCTAGAACCTCGGCAGGTGAAGACTTAGGTCTTACGCCAGGTTGTTAGAGCGATATCTACTGTATATCCATATGTGCTTAGAGCAGTACTTTGCTACGTAGACTTATGGAATAGCAGGCTGGGACATTTTGTTTCACAAGATATACCATGGTAGACCTGTTGGATTTGGTTCAATTTAGCATAGAATCATGTCCCCAGGTATCTTCTTTCATAATCTGAAACCCACAGGTCTCTACCTCCTACTGCGCAGAAGTTATTAATAAAACATCGCAATGCCTTATATTTTGAAATGGATAGTACGTGATTACAAAAAATTACGACCTTTCTAATATACTCTCATGTGTGAGCTTTTTTAAAGTCTCTTTATAATTTTTATATCATCTCTAGGTTGAGAGAAAAAATGCCCAGATTGACTGTGTCATGTTCAGAAAATGAAGAACAGTCTGGCCCAACATTAGTTCACAGTCAAGGTGTGCCAAACTATCGTATCGATCCCGATTTGATACGTGTACTACAAGAAGCATTTACAAACGATCATTTACGTAATGATCATCAAGGTGTTATATGTGATTTTCCAGGACAGCAGGTTGTTGATGTTCTTTCACAAGGAGCCGGACTGCGTCTGGCAAGTAAAGATTTTCATAGTGGGCGACATCACTGGAGTCTGACTGCAGGTGATCCTCAAGAACATCAAGATGAAGATGAGGATGAATAAAACGTACTTTTTTTCTAAATGGACGAAAACACTGCAGGAACTAGAACTTTTTTCATGTTAATCATTCTTACTTTGACTTGAATAAACAAAAATTTGAGAGAACTGACTATCCTTAATTAATTTCCTTAAAGGAAAGTGGAATTTTCTTAAAAATTGATGCTACGTTCTTTTAAGAAACGGCAGAATTACGGGCAGAATTCAGGTCTTTCTTTATCAAAAACTTCCATTCTAAACACAGGTTACGAGTTTGTAGAAAACAGAATTTCTTAACCAAATGACACTACTCCCAACTCTCTACCACATTTACTTAAATAGTTATGAATTTATAATGTATATGCAAATTAGTACAAAAATTTGATAGCAATATATATTTTCTCTGTAACTTTTGAAAGGAGCAATAGTTTTTGACGAGAAAAACAAGATATCTGAGAAATATTGTTTACTATTTTTAATAAAAAGTGTCAGCTTGAGCGTTATTTCAACATTGAATATCATTCTATGTTCAAAGCGAGGCGACGTATACGCTTAACTTAGGCGACTTAAGTAGTTCCTGTTTTTTAACGTCAGTGACGGAGAGGTATTTTTGCACGTGGTATTTTTAAAAAATCGCTATGGAGAGGTCATTAACTGAAAGCAAAGGTTTGTGTCTGGTAATATTGTATAATCTATTTTACTCATCAGAAAAGTATTTTTTTACGACAAATATCTTCGTGAATCGACGGAAACAAAAATATTTGGAAACATATCCACTCTCACTGTTTTTCCTTTAGCTGGTTAACAATTATTAAGATAAATATATTTCTTTCTTTCTCTCTCTACCTCTCCTCGATCTGTATACACGTAAATACCATTACATTGGTGTGATTTTCCGTTTGACTATGCAAATCTAAAAAGAAGAAAAAGAAACCTTATATTTGAAAACATAATAGATTTCCCTTTTCTTTTTTAAATATTATTCAGTGTATTGAATAACAACTTTTAACAAAAGTCATGTAGTAGACATATACTGGGTATGTAAGTGATTCGACTGTCAGAAGTACTTCACCTCTTCTTCTTCTTCTAAGCTTTTCAAAAACGTATTCTCGTATTCTTTGTTATCAAAAATTCCGCGAAAGTAGTAGTATTCACCTTGGTTATTTAGGTGAGTATACCTTCCTTTACCACATACTAATGGATTGCATTAGAACTACAAACTTTTCATCTATTTAGATTTTTTCAGTCTTCTATTCAAGTCTATCTGTTAAATGAAAAAATGCCCAATTTAACTGTCTCATGTGATGAAATAGAAGAACAGTCTGGTTCACAGTCAGGATCTACAAAATTGTCGTATCGATCCTAAACTGATACGTGTAGTGCAAGAAGCATTTACATGATGATCAAGAGGATGTTGTATATGGTTGTCAAGGACAACAGGTTGTCGGTGTTCTTATACAAAGAGGTCTGACAAGTCAAATTTTTCCTACAGGTCGATAAATCATTGAAATGGACAACAGAAGATTGGCCATACAGTCATATGACCTGTTAGTTCGTGATTTTATTCCACGTAGTCGTTATGATATTTTTATGAATGTTTGTTGAAAATTTTTATTTATTTCTATTGAGAATTTTATTTTTAAAGGTTTTTGTTTTATAATGTGGTTAAATAAAAATATTTATTTAGTAAAAATATTAAATTCGTTTTTATCGGATCTTGCAAGTCCGATTAATTTATTATGCTTTTGAAATTTTGGTTTTATATTAGGAATAGCTATAGTACAGGTAGTTAGAGGTATGATGTTAGCTTTATACTATAGGAATTCAGTGAGTTATGCTTTCTATTCTGTAATTTATTTAGAAATTGAAGTTCAAATGAGGTATTTAATTCGTTTTATTCATTCTCTTGGTGCTAGTTTATTATTTATACCTATTTATATTCATATTGGTCGTAGTTTATGATTTAAGTCTATACTTATTATAAGAGTTTGGAAAGTAAATGTTTTCATTTTTGCTTTAATAATTTCATACACGAATTCGCCGCAATTATTTTATCCGATAAACTCCTGAGGAAGATGGAGATAAAAGATGGAACAAAGATGAGTATGAATAATAAAGATGTTCTTTTTATTTTCTAAATCGACAGAAACATTGAAAAACTAACAAATCATTATTTGCTTTACATCCAATAATCATAATTTTATTCGAATAAAAAAAAAACTAATGTAGTAACGACACTCTTACAGACCCAAATAGACGCTTTACGCCTGCATAATGCAGTGTACTTTAAAATACGACCATAGTACCATGAAATATACGTTAGTCCCACGCAATCTTTCACGGCATCTCAAAAAAATAAAAATAACTGAGATACCGTTTACATCAACACGAGTAATTTACCGAGTGTTCTGAGCCTGGCAATACCGACCGTATCAAACGGTAAGATTCGTTGACGATAAAATCACTAATTTGTGTTGTCGATCTCCGTGCTATATGTAAGTTATATAATATAACTCAATCCTATACATAGATGTGAAAAAATTCTTTTAAATTTCACAAGATTCTTGTCGAGAGACAACCACAAGACAAAAAGGACGGCGGCGATTATTTGATAAAATCGACCCATTCCTGAATTTCCTCAACTAATCCAAAGCTAGATGTAGAATGAAGAGGGGAATATTTCCATGTACTTACTAGACCTTAGAACCACAATCAGAAATAATTAGCCGAATATAATTTGATTAAGTTTCTACCCGATCTGATATATTTTACAGGTCGTATTTTTGGATTTTTCTCTTTCAGCTCCATAATTTCTCACGACTATTATTTATCATTAGAAAGCTCTTTCTCTTCGCTGTATTTCTGTATATCACACATACGGAAATAACCGTTCTGACGCTAAGTATGTTTAGAAATACTTCTGGCTATGGCAAATGATCTTCTATGTGCAAAACGTCTCAAATATTCTATGACAATATTCTCTCTCTCTCTCTCAATGACAAGTTTTCTCATTCGACCACTGTATTAAATATACTATTCGATAGAGAATTTTTCGAGCTACAATTTGGTGTATATAACATAGAGAAAAAAGTGTCCTAGGGCACCCTGACATTATAAATTGTTACTGCAAAGCCGTGGCAAGCGGATGACTTGTGGATAGCTGACTAAATTGGTTGATCCAGCCGACACACCTTTAGAACATCTGGTCGCTCTTTGATAAGCCTACGCAACATAAATACTTATATTACAACCAAATTAAACCAGTACATGTACTTGTTAAAGTTTTGTGACTACTATAAACGTCCGTAAAAATATGTATTTTTTCACTATTACATACACATTTTCGAAAATCACTGTAGTTTTCGAAAGTTATTTGGTGATTGGTTTATTGACAGAAAACCAAACGTGCAGCGAACAGCGGTGCAGGATGGGGCTCAATGTGAACTTTCTAAAAAAGCGCTGTGTTCCGAAAAGGCTCTTTGGTTCTAGTGGTTATGTAGAAAATGAAGCCATCTGCCACTAGATAAACGTTTCTTTCGTGTTTTGAGAGCAAAAGTTTCTTCCGAGGCGGAGATCAAAAGGCTTTTTTGAATGTCACAAGAACTATCGATTACTTACACACTCGCAACCACTGTTGCCTGCTGACCCGCCACTGCTGCGTCCGTAGATTCCTGCCCATGTCTTCGGTCTAGCAATGCCGTCTGATATTAAGCCGTTTTTTGCTGGAATGCTGCCAACACATTTTTGGTTGCAGGAGCAAATATTCCATCTGCAGTGACTCTCACAGCTCTCTGCATAATTTTTACGAAATCACCACGAGAGCCTTGTCTCAATGTTTGTGTGCACTCGACGTTGAGTATAGCCAATATAACTAGTAGAAAAAAAATTGCTTTTAAAACCTGATTCATATTGACGTGATTAGTTGGTGGAATATACGAATAATACTGCCTTAAATGCAACGTTTGACTTTATATTGTCGGATCGGTATAATTTGAGAAAGACTTCTGTATTATCACGCGTAGATAAGACTCAAACCAACAACATCGATCACTGGGTTCTTGAACTTTCTTCTCAAAACAAACACACCTGTGTCTCCAGCTATCTCTGAGCTTGCTAGACGTAATGTTAACGAATACGTATGTCTAAGGAACATATCTACTATCCGAGAACCATAAGAGATAGAGAGGTCGGCTTTGCGCATAATTGTAGAGTAGACGTTGGGCTACACTATGGCTGAATTGAAATTGAGAATACATGTGATCAAAGGAAACAATCAATGGTTTTTCAGAAAAATGTTGGAGAACCCCTATAAAACTTTTCAAGGATTATGATTTTCAGATCGGCGCCGCGTTATTACTATCGATATACATTTATAGCCTACGAAACTTGCAGGCTACAGCTGATCTAACATGAAGAATTTAATGGAAATGTTATAGGAAAAATCAGCTATACTGCGCGGCTAGCTAACTGTGCTACTGTAAAGAATTCCATAACGTTTCCTTTATTGCAATGGTGATCTCGCTATTTTACAATCAATTCATTGTACAATGACAAAATCACCATTGCAATAAAAATGAACGTCATTTTTAATAAAAATACATTAAAAAGTGTTTCAAAATTTAGAAAAATGCCAGGCCAGTCTCAAGGTCCATTAAAGTAGTGTCCGTATATTATGACTATTTATGGGGCCGTTTCGATGATCTACCTCTGCAGATAATGTTCATTCAATGTATGTATCTCTTTAAAGGTTCAGAAACATAGCTTCTCACCTTTATCTGCGCACCATGGGGATGTAGCTCATATGGTAGAGCGCTCGCTTAGCATGCGAGAGGTACCGAGATCGATACTCGGCATCTCCATATGTTTTTTATTCTGTTCTTTATACTTATTACAGGTAAAAAAATGTTTAAAACATAGCACCATATTTATACGTCACTCTGACCCTAATTCAATTTTCGGTGTTCCCAATTAATTTCTTTTGAGATCTGATACATTATATTTGTCATGGCGCGATGAATCGAATGGGA